TTATGTTGGTTTATTAATGGTGGACACCAATCTATCGCTATATTTGGTGGCAAAATGTTTTCAAGAGTTTTAAAGATCGTTTAATGATGGATTTGCTAAAGAATATAGCAACGAAATTGCTTATCCATTATCGCTTTCAATATGTTGATTTAATGATGAAATATCTATTATCAAAATAAATATCCCTTATAAATTAGCGACGGGAAGGTCCATTCGCAAAATGTGAAATATTGACGAACTTTCTAAAAGTCAAAATCGTCAAATTAGCGATAGATTAGAACCGGACACTAACATCCGTTACTATATGTAAAAAAATTGATGGCTAACTTTGCCTATTTATTGATAGATTAGTGATCGATCAACAAGGGTATCGCATCCATTGTTATTTTTCAATTTCTAATTCAACCCCTTTCTTCTTCCTCCTCCTTATTTTCTTCTTACTCCCTTTCTCTAACTAGTCGTCGGTCTCCCTCCTTCCAAACTACCACCAAACTCCATTCCTCCACTCTCAATCAATCCACACCCACTCTAAGCTTTTTTCTCTAAAAAAAACCCTCGTTTTTTCTTTCCTCGCTCATAGTGTAATTCAAACCAAATTCAGTAAGTTTTTTCTCTCTTTAATTTTCTTAATTAAAGTTTGTAATTTGTTGTAATTATTAGGTTAATTTTAAGTTTAATTACTTGATTTATAATTTTGTATATATTTAATTATTTTTTGTTGATTTGTTTGTTAAATTGTTATTCTTTGTTAATTATTAGGCTAATTTATTGATTAATTTGTTAAATTAGTAAATTTTGTTAATTTTTAAGTAAATTTATTAATTAATTTTTACTTAAATTTAATTATAAATGATTTTTAATTAATTAATTTAATTTAATTCATTTTTAGCTAATTAATTAGGTTAATATTACTTAATTAGTTGAATTTTAATTTTATTTATACTAGAAATTATTAATTAATTATTATTTTAAATTTAGTTTGGTTAGAATTAGAGTTAATTAAGTTAATTTGTTTTATTTTAATTTAATTAGGTTAACTTTGCATAATTGGTTGGATTTTAACTTTATTTATATTAAAACTTGTTAATTAATTATTATTTTAAATTTAATATGTTTAAAATTATAATTAATTAAGTTAATGTGATTTATATTTAATTAATCAAATTATTAATTAGGTTAATTATGTTTAATTGGTTGGATTTTAATTTTATTTATATTTAAAATTTTTAATTAATTATTATTTTAAATTTAATTTGGTTAGAGTTAGACTTAATTAAGTTAATTTGATTTATTTTTAATTAATTAATTAGGTTAAGTTTTTTTTTAATTTGTTGAATTTTTTTATTTATATTAGAAATTGTTAATTAATTGTTATTTTAAATTTAATTTTATTAGAATTAGAATTAATGAAGTTAATTTGATTTATAATTAATTAATTAATTAATTAGGTTAATTTTGTTTAATTGGTTGAATTACAATTTTATTTATATTAAAACTTGTTAATTTATTGTTATTTTGAACTTAAGTAGGTTAGAATTAGAATTAATTAAGTTAATTTGATTTATAATTAATTATTTGTGTTAATTTTTGTATAATTGGTTGAATTATAATTTTATTTATATTAAAAATTGTTAATTTATTGTTATTTTATACTTAATTTGGTTAGAATTAGAATTAATTAGTTAATTTGATTTATAATTAATTAATTAGGTTAATTTTTTTTAATTGGTTGAATTAGAATTTTATTGATATTAAAACTTATTAATTTATTGTTATTTTAAACTCAATTAGATTATAATTTGAGTTAATTGGTTTAATTATTTCCTATATAATTATTGAATTGTGCTTACATATGTCGTAATGTATCAAACAAGAAGGGTCGAAGACCATCAAAAATTGAAAAGAAATAAGGTCGGTTCAATGCTCGCGATGGAGCTAGAAGGATGAGTTTGTGATCTAATTTCTATGGAGTATCCGAGACAATTGCCGATCTCGAGTATGCATAAATTGATTGTTGGTTGATTTAATTTCAATATCTCGCGTGATCATTTGGAGTATTTGTTAATTAAAAAAGGTGCAATTTAGAGGGAAGATCGTCAAAATTTTGTATAATTTATAATATATCTTCATTCGAATTGTAATTCATTTGTTAAACTATTTCGGATGTTATTCTTGAATTATGCCTTGTGGATTAGGCGGATGGGGTCATAATGTCGGTAGTTGTAGCTTTGATGTTGATCGTACGACTAAAAGTGATAGTGTACATGGACGTAACAATGTTAGTGCAAATGTCCGGGCCCGTACTTGATAGTGATATCTACACGTATGCATCCCTTCTAGTAGTTCCCTCACCAATTATGCCCTCTGCTATGGATGTCTCCATGATGGTTTTCTCGGCTTTAAGAAGCTCCATTGGATCCGATGATGAATGAACCATTTGAGTTGTGAATAATCGGTAAGTAATATGTTTTACATGCGATAATTAGTTTTACATTTTGATATATTATATTAGAATCATTAATTTACTTATTTATTATTTATTTATTTTATTTGACAACATGGTTCCATTAAACAAGCGCTCCATAAAAATCAAGCATAATTTTCAAAGAGCGAGTTAAACATCATTAGCTCCACAAGGAAGTCCGTCTCTATGGAGATGAAAGACTTCTACTTTAATGAATTTAGGGTAACATATTAATTATTTGCTTATATTTTATTTTAAGTATTAATTTAACATGAAACGTACTAATATTATTTTTTTAATATAGAAGTACTTTTTATAGGATGCGATTGTTGAGGTTCTAAGTAAAGATGCGTGAGAGAGTTCGACATGAATGCGGTATAAAAACATGCTTAACAAACTAAAGCATAAGAGTAACGGACTCGCGTTTGTTAAATAGGAGGCGTGGGAAGTATGACACCGAGATTGGGCCACTTCGAGTATCAAGTCCGATCTTAGTAAGCATCTCAAAATTGTATGTCGGAGATTGATGGTGTTAGTCTTGGCCCATCTAAGCATAGTGGAGGGTCCATCTCTTTGGTTGAGCATGCCGAACATTTAGTAAATCTCGTATTATCCATTATGTTATAAATTAATTTTTACATTTATTGCATCTCATATTATTTTATCTATTTTTTAGCATAATAAATTGGATCATAACCCAAATCCTTATGACTCGTTCGTGACCATTCACAAATGAAAAGATGGGTCACTTGTCGACGTACTGGTCATAGATAGGAATGGTAAGGTTTTATATTTTTTTAAAAAAATATACATTTACAATATAATCTAAAAATATATATTTATGTTTTAATATTGTAATTATTTCAATGACATAGGAATGCGAGTAGTCAATGCAAGAAGCAACTCGTTTATGAATGACATGAGGGTGATTCATCGTCTCTAGATATTGACATATCCAAGATATATTTGGATGTCGTCGGAGGAAAGAAGAAGCAAAGAGTGTACGATATCAAATCTTATGTGTCATATTATTACTCATATTCGGCAAGAGACTTCTCCTCTATCACTTCATTGTATTCCGATGATAATATCTAGGAGGTTTATGCTTAGTACGAAGATATGATCAAGGGAATAGAAGTTACCATTCATAATATGCCAATCAAGTTAGCACCATACGTAGTCGGTTGTAGATAGTGATAGGGTTACTACAAAACATGGAGCGGACTCACGTCCCTCCCGCTAACCCTCCTACAACCTAGGAGTCGGTCATTCCTCTCAACATCGAACAACTAGAAGATGATGCAGGAGATGATGATAATGAAGACTAGATTTCTTTTTTTAAAAAAAAGTTTTAAATATTTTTATACATTTTAAAGTATTTATATATTTATTTTATTTCAATTTAAACTATTTTAATTTTGTTAAATAATATATCATATTTTAATAAGGTGTCATTTATAGTTGTTTATTATTATAATTAACAATAGACGACTATTGATTTAAAAAAAATTAAAAATTTCTTCGTTTAGTGACGGATTTAGCAATAGAATTGCAACGATATATAGCGACGGAGACATATACGGTCGCCAAATAGTGACGAACTTTAGCGATGGAATTGCAAGGATTTTAGTGACACCCATTTCATCACTATTTAGCGATGGATATAAGTGAAAATAGTGATGACGTGGCGACATATATAAGACCTTATAGACTACTATTTTAAATCTATTTAGTGACAAAAATTCAATAAATTAGCAACATAAATAAATTTCGACCGCTAAGAAAATAACATCCACCATATTAGCAACATAATTTATATTGTCTCTAATCCGTCGCTAATGATATATACCGATGGATTTTTAACATATAGAGATGGAAAAATCCATCGTTGTATGAACTATAACGGACCAAGTTCTTTGATTTTTTTTATCAACCTCTAATTAAATATTAAAAAAGATTCATCTGAATGAAAAATAATTTTTAAGTTTTTTCATGGAAATTTCTTTGTTTTCAATGACAAATACGAGTGTAGAGACGATCGTGGAAACCGTCAAGTCTCGCCATCTTTAACGTTTCTACATAGATAGATCCTCGCAATGAACTCCCTTAATGATTCCTTCCGTTTTTGCCTTATGTTTGTAAGATATACCAACATTTTTTTTAGTCATATGCTAGTCACATGATAGCCTACAAAGAGATCAAATGTTTTTTGAAAGTTCGAGATACATCAAGGAAGAAGGTTTGAGAACCATGCTCGAGCAAGTCCTCATTAATGTAGAAGGAAATGTCTTATATAGAAACATATAAACCATCTCATAAAGGACCATTATGGTCCTAAAGCAACTTATGATATTGTGATATGTTCCAAGGTTTACAACTTGCCCTCCGGAGGAGGGGCATCTAAAACACTCATTTTAAAAAGAGATTTCCGCATCGAACTAAACCTATTTGCCTCCATTCATGAAGCTTTTTTCACATGTTACTCCACCATCTTCCTCATTTGCTCCTTGCTCGTTAAACTTCAACTCACGCTTTTCTAATCCTTATTCTCCGCCAAATACACCATTTTTTTTCTCTTATCTCGTTTCTCGGTTGTCATCCGATTATCTCGAGAGGGCTCATTTCTTACACTCAAACAAGGATTGTCTTTTTTTGCTTCTTCTATGGCCCTACCAATCTTTTCTCGTACTTGCTCGACGAGTGAACAATTATGGTTGTTAACCGTACCGAGCACCCCCTTGTTGTGCAACTTCCATATTTCTTCTCTCATCATCTTGGACTTTCTATTCATTATTGTTATTTGTGCTCAACTATCTACATCTCCGAACTTCTCTTAGTCCAAATGCTCCCGTTGTCGAGAACGGTGTTGATTGCAGTGGCTCACGACTTGCTTCTACTTGATCGTTTCATGTGTTTTTTTCATGACTTTTTGTTTTCGATCTCCATAAACGACGACAAATGTTATGACCTAGCGATGAGCTGAATTTGGACATCGATCGTTGGATTATGTCTTTCATTGGATCTATATAAAACAATAAAGCTAGATCGGGGTTAAAGTACGATCGGCTTCTTCGACGAGCAAATCCATCCTTCTAGTGGTCATAAAATAATATAATTATTTGAGAATACCTCTCGTTTTTATACCTCTATATCGTTTGTCCTTACTTACCCCTTGTTTGGATAATTCCTCTTGGGAGGAAAGAAAAGAGAGGAAAAAAGTGAGAGAAAAGAAAAGAGAGAGGAAAGAAAATCATTTTTCACTTGTTGTTTGGATAAGAGTGAAAAGGAAAGGAAAGAAAATACATTTTCCTTGTTTGGATAATTGTAAAAAGAGGAAGAAAAGAAAATATATTATGGTATATTTACTATAATACCCTTGTGATTATATTTCTATATTTAAATACTTATAATAAATTTGTATAAATATTTTTTTCATGAAAATAACACAAATGATAATAAAATAAAAATCTAGCATGTAGCATATATCCGAAATGATAAGATAGATAATGAAACGTCTCCATAGAATAATCGATAACTCGTTAATTAATTAATTAATCCAATAGCCAATTTAGATTAATTATCAACATAAAATTAATTTAAATATGTATAACATGTATTATTATCTATGTATATAATAAGTTAGTTGCTTTTACCCATCATTTTCTCCATTTTTTTTATAGAATAAACAATTACTATTTAGCAATTAAAACAAAAGAGTATATGGTAACATTGCGTACAATCATGAAAAGTCAATTGAATAACAAAAAATGAGACAAATCATAAATAATTTTTATTTCTTCATTTGCAGTAACTCCAAAAAGTGTTCGAAGGGTCGTTTTGAGGGATAATTTGTGTCTATTTTGGTGGGTTTTGAGGGGTTTTTTTGGTGGTTTTGAATCTGGTATGGGGGTGTTTTTGGAGCTTCTTTAGTAGTTCAAATGGCATTTCCAAAGGAGTTGCTCTGTAAGGGTTTTCGGGAGCCGTTGGTAACAATTTCGGAGCTGAGTTTGGAGGCTTTTAGGTAGGTGTTGGGTCCGTTTTGGGGTTGGTTTTAAGCCTCTTTTTTTAGGGTTTTTTGGGGGTTTCTTTGAGTTTTTGTGAAGCTGGTTTGGGGGTGTTTGTGGAGCTTCTTTGGTGGTTCAAATGGCCTTTCCAAAGGAGTTGCTCTGTAAGGGTTTTCGGAGTCGTTGGTAACAATTTCGTAGCCGAGTTTGGAGGCTTTTAGGTAGGTGTTGGGTCTGTTTTGGGGTTGGTTTTAAGCCTCTTTTTTAGGGTTTTTTGGGGGTTTCTTTGGGTTTTTGTGAAGCTGGTTTGGGGGTGTTTGTGGAGCTTCTTTGGTGGTTCAAATGGCCTTTCCAAAGGAGTTGCTCTGTAAGGGTTTTCGAGAGTCGTTGGTAACAATTTCGAAGCTGAGTTTGGAGGCTTTTGGGTAGGTGTTGGGTCTGTTTTGAGGTTGGTTTTAAGCCTCTTTTTTTAGGGTTTTTTGGGGTTTTTTTGGGTTTTTGTGAAGCTGGTTTGGGGGTGTTTGTGGAGCTTCTTTGGTGGTTTAAATGGTATTTCCAAAGGAGTTGCTTTGTAAGGGTTTTCGAGGGTTGTTGGTAACGATTTCAAGGTTGAGTTTGGAGGCTTTTGGGTAGGTGTTGGGTCTGTTTTGAGGTTGGTTTTAAGCCTCTTTTTTTAGGATTTTTTGGGGGTTTTTTTGGGTTTTTGTGAAGCTAGTTTGGGGGTATTTGTGGAGCTTATTTGGTTGTTCAAATGGTTTCACAAAATCTTCCTATAAAGAAGTGGGATGCCTCGGATTAAGCATATATTTGCTATCCTTTTTATGTTTTTATCCCTCTTGAAGATCGTGGAAGGAAAAAAAACTCTCCCCCCCATTTTCTATCTCATGCACGTGCGAGTCAAATACATATTACATATCTTAATCTGGAATTCCTAAATTATGTCGGATATATATATATATATATATATATATATGTATGTTTTACGTGTGTGAACAATGAAAGAACACAAACTGGACTCTACAAGCCAACAAGTATATGCCGATCCCGAGCCTCCAAAACATAAAAGCTAAATTTTAAAGTAGCAACTCATCCTCATGAGCTCGAAACTATATAATAATAATAATGTCGCTTGATCCAAAAATCTCCCACGTATTTCGGCATACTCCAACCAATCTCTTTACAGTATTATTTCTCAAAAAGTAACGCACACACCATAGAAAAACTTGTATGATTAAAAAGAAAGAAGGAAAAGATTTGTAACAAATACTCTAGTTTGATCAATGAAATTTCTCCATTCATCGGAAAAGAAGAAAATATATATATTAAATTGACACCCAATTCATGAATCCAACATCCCATTTTATCCAATAATTTCTTTACATGCATGGACACAAGGTATTATTACAACCAAACCAAAATTTCTATCCAATCGCTAAACCATATCAAAAAATTTATTACCTTTCCAATTTCTTGCTAATCCAAACTTGTTTATTACACAATTTCAAGGTGAAGACCCCCAAAGAACTTCGACTATAATTGTAGCAACCTCAAGCATCGAAGCAAAAACTTCCCTTCGTTCGGCATCTCTTGCTTAAATGCCCTCCTCTCTCTTTGCCTTAGCCCTTCTCCTACCTCTAATTGAACCGCAAATCTTGCCACACAACCGGTAAATGGATGACTCTCTAAAACAATCTTCTCCTTCACCATTCTTTCTCGCCCGATCTAACATTCCCATATCAATCAAATCCCCACCAAGTTCTAATCTTTGCAACTCCACTAGCTTTTTTATCAACCCTTCTTTAAGCATAGCTTCAATTGCCTCTTTTCGGCCAAAATAGCCAATTTCAAGAATGCAACCCATTGCTACTGCTCTAAAATGCAAGTCTTTGTAGTCCAAGAAGCTAATGATTTTTGGGATTTCGCCATTAGATTCAATCTCATCAACAAGTGGTGATTTTATCGACTTAATGAGTGAACAAAGTACTTTGATTGATTTCTAAGAAGCCATCGAGACAAGACCATGAATCAAACGACCCATCAACACTCGACCAACAAAAACATCCTTGTTGAATTTAATCAAAGCCGAAACAACAAAAGCACACTCGTTCTCTTACCTTTTTGAGCAACTCGGGATCCCATACAATTTTCTCAAGTAAACAAAAAATCTTTGATTTAAGCACCAAGTCTTGTAACTCACGATTAAACCCTCGTGAAACTCGGTCTTCAAACCGAATCAACAAACTCACCAACTCATCTTCCGCAATTTGCAACAGACTCTTTCAAACCTTTCATCAAACTCTCTATACTTTCACGATCAATCCAAGCTTGAATCTCCATCCGTATCGACCCAAAGAACTCGGAGATAGCTTGAGTCGAGACTCAACGAGTCAAGAAACTTCGAAGTCCGTGCCCATAGCTTTACTCTAGAGTGGCAACATGAGATTCGAGGGTAGCAAGGTGTCGAGAAAGTGGTAGAGACGTGGGTCTTCGAAAAGAATTGTATCCGATTTAGTCTCGAGCTCCAACGAAGGGAACGACGACAAGGGCGAAAATGGAAAAAACAAAAAATAAATCGCTTTCCTCCCGTTTTTCTCTCCGTTTCCTCCCAATTTTGGGAGGAAAATGGGTCCCACCATTTTTGCATTTTTTATTATTATTTTTTTCATTCCACTCGCTTTCCTTCCTCTTCCCAAACAACGAAACATTTCTTTTCCACCCACTTTTCTTTCCTCTCCCCCACTTTCCATCCTATCCAAACAAGGGGTTAGACTCCCAAGCGTGTCACTCTATCCTCCATTCCTCTTTATCATCGTGTATTATCCACGTTATAGTATTTTCATTTTAAATGATATATTGGTATTAAAAATAGTTAAATGGTCTTTTGATCAGATGTGATCATCCTCAATTTAAGATTAGTTTGTTTCTTTCTTTCAAAAAATGCCTTTTTTCCCTATAAATTCCCATATTATATATTTATTCCTTATATTTTCTAAAACATAGAAAACCAAAATTAATTGGAAAGGAACATGAACGGATGAAAGGACTTGAGTTTTAAACGAATATTAAAATGTATAATATCTGAAACCATAAGGACTAATTAATTAATTTCATTAAACTAAAGGGACTAAGTTTTAATTAACTAACACATCTCGACATCAATAATATCTTTCCTAGGCTGACTTTCTTTCTTCGACCCTGCTGGCTGCAGCAACAGATAATAAAACCCACGGAAAACCCAGCATTTCGCTGTAAGTTAATATCTTGAAAACATCATCCATGGCGATTGTGGCTTCATTGCCAGCAGCAGGTCTCAACCTCTTCTCTTCACTCCCATCAGCAACCCCACCTGGAAAGGACCCAACCTCTTCCTCTTCTCCTCCTCCTCTCTCTCCTCCCATTCCCATCCCCAAATACCCCCTCCTGTTAAAAAATCAAAAAAATCCACTAACCCTGCCTTCAAAATCCCCCATCGTCAAACCAAGTACTACAAGCCCGTCAAAGATGGTAGTGGGGTCATCGCATCAGACGGTGACCGCTCTGTCCTTGTAGGTGACTCCGGTGTATCCTATCTTCTCCCAGGGGCTCCGTTCGAGTTTCAATTCAGCTATTCAGAGACTCCTAAAGTGAAGCCATTGGCCATCCGGGAACCGGCTTTCTTGCCCTTTGCGCCTCCCACAATGCCGCGACCTTGGACTGGCAAACCCCCCTGAAAGCCAACAAGAAGAAGACTCCGGTTTTCGATTCCTTTAATCCGCCTCCAGTAGGTAAAAAAGGGGTCAAGTACGTGGAAATGCCTGGTCCATTCTCGTTTGGGAAGTTTCCAGAGGATGGGAAATCCAGGGAGGAGATACTTGGGGAACCTTTAAAGACATGGGAGATTAAAATGCTTATTAAGCCTCATTTGTCTGATAATAGACAGGTTAATCTCGGTGAGTGTTTCTTCCTTAAAACGTGATATTCGTAGCACTCTCTGTCTGTTTTGTATTTTGATTGATTGATTTGAATTTGTGGGCTGGCGCGCAGGGAGGGACGGATTAACTCATAATATGTTGGAGTTGGTACACACACATTGGAAGCGAAGGCGCGTTTGTAAAGTTCGTTGTAAGGGTATTCCCACTGTAGATATGGATAATGTTTGCCGGCATTTGGAGGTACTTATGTTTTTTAGTGTCAATGTTATTATGCTATGTAAAATCAGTTTAACCATTTTACTATGAATTATTTAAGTCAATAGAGCCTGATTCAACACATGTTGTTTTATTCTGATGCCAGGAAAAAACTGGAGGAAAGATTATTCATAGAGTTGGTGGTGTACTTTATCTTTTTCGGGGCAGAAATTACAACTACCGAACTCGTCCACAATACCCAGTAATGCTCTGGAAACCAGCTACTCCAGTCTACCCAAAACTTATTCAAGAAGCTCCTCAAGGTTTGACGAAAGCTGAAGCAGATGAATTACGGAAGAAAGCTAAGAATCTTCTGCCGATATGTAAATTAGGTAAATAATCAATTCCCTCTTTCATATTTGGAATGCCCCAGCTTATTTGTTGCCTTTGTTATAAGTAATTAGTTTCTGAATGTGTAAAATGGCAAAATAAATTCATTCTTACTTGAAAGCAGTGGCGCAATGGCTATGGCACTCCACTTCCCTTACATATACGAATTTTCTTGCCTTCTTAATGTGGGATTTTTAGAAGTAAAAGTTATCATTATGTTATTCGCTTAGAGTTTGTTTTCCTTTTGTGTTCTGATTTCTTTTCTGATGAATCTGGTTTTGTCAAGATATCTGACACTTGCAGATACCTCGTAAACACTTACCTAGTTCTGCTTTGAGGAGTACACTGTTATGCATGCCCCTTTTATTGGACAAAGTTAATGTGACCGTCACTGAAACACAAAACCACCCCCTCCCACTCCTGTTTTATTTTACTTGCAAGTAGTTGTTACAAATATCTTACTTTGTTATTCGAATCGCAGCAAAAAATGGAGTGTACATTACATTGGTAAGAGATGTTAGGACTGCTTTTGAAGGAAGTCCGTTGGTGAAGGTTGATTGCAAAGGGATGGAACCTAGTGATTACAAGAAGTTGGGTGCTAAGCTTAAGGTAATCAATGAATGGGAAAACATTGTCGCATATAAAGTTAGGAACAAGATTTATATACCGAAGCTGATAATCTTCTCATTGCTTGGAGTTGTTCATTGCATGAATGCTTACCTCATCCATTATGCTTGTCGGTAATTGATAAATCTGTGGCATGCAAGTTTTGTTTTGAATCTTGATGTCCTAATGCAGATGCCAAACCTTTTAAAGACATAGTCATACATGGATATAGGGCACTGAATAGAGCAGCAATGAATTAGCAGTGAGCTGTGCAAGTGTAGAAAAATATGTGAATATCGAACATTGATTACTCATGTTTGATTTCCTTACTCAACAGCATGTCCTAGTTATTCTGGCCTCTGGATAATGTGGCTGCAGTTTTCTAAACCTTTTTTTATCTCTTGACAGGATTTGGTCCCTTGTGTGCTGTTGTCTTTTGACGATGAGCAGATATTGATGTGGAGGGGACAAGACTGGAAATCAATGTATCAAGAAGCTGCACCTTCAGTCTCATTTCCTGCTGAAGAAGATATTGCAAGTTGTTCAGATGATTCAGGTATGTATTATACAGGGGACTGGGAGTAGCCACATTGCATTTGCATGACTTTAGAAGACCACTATTGATAGGGCATATTACTCTGAGCAAGGATACCAGACTTTTCTGCAGTAATTTCTCTGCCTTAATCAAGTTTTATCTGGACCAGGAGTTTTGGAACATGAGATTTGCATATGTAGACTAAATTGGAAGCACTTGCTTTTGACATGTTTCATAGTGCTGTCTCACAATGTAACTCTCAACTGATTCTGTAGGCTGTGTAATTGTTAGATGGGAGAAAAAATGTTGTAATGGTAGCTTTTCCAGATAATCGGTGAAGTGGGACATATCGTAGCCATGCCTGAATATAGTTAATCTCATGGACAATAACTGAATACGATGATGATTTCAAGGTATGTGCAATATCCAATAAGACTCTGGTGGCCAGTAGAACTTGGTTAAACAGGGAAAAGATCTAGCCCATTTGATCTGGCGGACAATTATTCTTGAAAATTGCGACGAGGTCCATATCAGTTGTTGTCAAAAGGCAGTGTCCTAGAAACTGCATTCCTGAAAGCGTGATATTATTTGGGAAGGAGGAGCCCACTTAAGCGGTTCCTCTCCTCTTTTTTCCATCTGTACTGTTCTCCGTTTTTGTCCCTCTCCAATTACAAATAATGATCAGATGTCCATGTAATTATCGAGCAGCCATTGAAATGGTTAACTAGCCACGAAATGCTGGTGGACATTGGAATCTGGAGTCACATGGTACTCTTGTTTTTTCCTCCACATTTTCTGATGTCGTTTTCAATTTTTCCATATTTTTGAATCGCATCTCAATCTTTTTTCAAGCCACAACAATTGATTGACATGGTTGCTTGATAATCTGGCTAATTTGTCATTATCAATTTTCTCCACTGCACTTAATGATGGTAGTTCTACATGTCTAGGAGCAAATTTCTCAATGTTAGAGCTTTAATGTCTCTTTTCTGTTTATTTCACGGTTCTTTTCAGGCAAGTCTGATGATGATTGTGATTACTCTGACGCCAAAATAGTGAGCTCAAGCCCCAAAATGATGTCCCTGTGGAAGCATGCACTTGAGTCAAACAAGGCAGTTTTGCTCAATGAGATTGATCTTGGTCCTGATGCTCTTTTGAGAAAAGTAGAGGAGTTTGAGAGTGTTTCGCAGGCCACGGAACACTCCTACCCCGCTTTAGTTATGTCTAGTGAAGATGATACCAGTAACTCAATCTCAGCATTTGAAGACGATTCTCTTAGTGAAAGTTTTTGTGAAGATGAAATGTATAGTGATGATGAATATTGTGATAGCGAATCCTTTGAAGACGTAGATACCTCAGTCCCTCCGGGGTCATTACCCATTGATCTGATAGCGGAGGAGCTCAATAACAAATAAAAAATGCAAGAATCTGTCTAATTTACGTCGTTGTCAACTTTTCTTGCTCGCGGACAATCCTATCGCATTGCAAGTGCGGTGCTCGTTCTCAAAATCTCAGCTTAATGTCACTGTCTTGTGTTTAAACTGTATATTTGTTGCGTAAGTAGTGGATTGTTCTAGTCTTTTCTTCTTCATTCTTTTTTTATTTTTATTGTTTTCATAATAAATGTTTACTCCCCCAATGTAAGATAAAAAAAAATATGTTTTCTTCTGTTATGCAATTTTATTTAAGTGGAGAGAGAGAGAGAGAGAGAGCTATTAACTTTGTTTATGATCGTATTAATACAAATGGTCATAACGCTTTTTTTAAAAAAAGATGAACTTAATTTAATGTACAAAAGCTGTCTACCATAGAATAAAATGTGCAAACATATTCCATTAATGAAAGCTTTTTTCTTTTTATTCTTTTGGCTCAATCTTCTTGGACGATTTTAGAAAGTACAACTTCTAGGGTTTCGCATGTTCTCCATCAATATTATAAATTACTCGTCTAGTTTCTAAAGACGAATTAATTAGTTTTAGTATTTCAAAAATTAGTTATTTAATTTTTTTGTTTACTTAATTTTTTGAAATAGAAAAAAATTAATATTATGGAAAGATTGATGAGAAGATTTTTTTTAAAAAAAAGATAACATTAAATTAAATATAATCAATATTGATCAAAAAATTAAATGATTAATTTTTAAAATAAAAGAAACTAATCAATTTTTCAGAGCTAGAGGAACTAATTTATAATTTACTATCATAAAATATGGTCCTTTCCCCATTTAGTACCAAAAAAAAAAAAAAAACGTGTCACACAGCCGCTCTAGCATCTTCCTTTTCCTACTCATTCGCGGAGGTCTGGTGTGGTCGCGATCTGTTTAAACTTAGAAGAGTAGATTATGCTTTAGTCACTAATCTTTGAATGTAATTATAAATTAGTTCTTAATATTTGAAAACCTGTAACTTAATGATCATTGTCTTATTGAAAAAAAACTTGTTTTTTCTCTAAACTTTTACTGTGTTATTTTTAATATAATAATTTAAAATTACCACATGTACCTTTGGATTTACATCTAAACCAATGCATGTTTTAATAAGACAACGGTCCAGAAGAGATAAAGGATTGATTTATAAGGTTTTCAAAGAAATGGAATAAGTTATGATTAAATTCAAAATGTAGGGACTAAAACATGATTTACTTAAATCACAACTTAGGTGTGCTGTGTTTCTTTTCTAATTTTACCTCTTACGAGGTTTTTTACTATTAATAGTGAAAAATAATCAATTAAAATCTTGTCTCTTCCAATCCCTGGCTTGCAATTCTTACACTTTGGCCATTAAAATAAAACTGAAGACGTAAGCAAAGCAAAAACTACTAACTGGGTTTCCTTTCATTCACGTCGCTGTTTGTCTTCAAACTGATTTGTCCCGACAGAAAATGAGCAGATAGAGAATAGAAGGAGAAGGAGAAAGGAGGAAATTAAGCATCTTCTTGATTCTATTCCTCAACTGTAAGTCCAAAGACGCTTCTTTCTTTTGATCAAATAAAATTAAATCGTATCTAAAGCAAAGAATCTCTCTTTGTTTTGTTTTTTTTTCCTTTTTCTTTTCTTTCTTTTTTTTCTTTTTATTCCTTGCTTGCTTGGTGTCTTTGTTTCATCTACATTTGAAAAACCCACAAAAATGTACTAATATGTTCTTTCATTTGATTATTGGGATTCAATTATTTCTTTTTCGATTTTTTTGTCAATGGTTTTCATGAAATGGACGGGTTTAGAACTTTTATTGTGCTTTACCTGTTTAGCAAAATGTAAAATCTTATCGTAATATCCTGGAAGTCGGAACTTAGAGTATTCATAAATGATGATAACCAGTAGAGCAAGTTTGAGTGATTTGTTGAGTTTCTTACCAGGATCCTCAAAGCATACGCATACTTGGCAGCCCATCATGACTGCCGATACAACCGTGCCGAGTTACTGGTTGAACTGGAGATTCTTCCTTTGTGCTCTCTTGCTCTTAACATCTATGGTTTTAGCTGCAATTCTAATATGGAAATATGAAGGGTCTAAAAAATCGGAGAGGGGAGAAGATCAGCTAGAAAGACCAGGGTCTTTGTACAAAGATGAAGCTTGGAATACTTGTCTGAAAACAATCCATCCGGCTTGGCTGCTTGCTTTTAGGATTGTTGGTTTCGTTGTTCTTTTATCGTTGATCACAGCAAATGTGACCACTGATGGAGGGGGCATTTTTTACTTTTATACACAGTAAGTCACTGACCTTTCTTTATAGCATTCATCTTTTACTCATTGATACTTCAATGCAAGTTGAATAGGGGAACTATTTTTAATATTTCTGCAAATGCAGATATGATGGTTAGCCATATGATATGTTGTTTAAGTGTTCTGTAAATTTTATGGAGCACAGGTTGAACATATGGATTTCCAATTATATGCTTGAACGTACTCCATTGGCCGTCCACCTATTTGTCTTTTCCTTTAGGAGGGGTTGAAAGCCTCACTAGATGTAGAAACAGTTGTGACAACATGGTGTTGCTGTTATCCTTATAAGCAACCCAGAAAAGGAAAACAGAGTTGTCAATGTTTCTCAGTGCATTTCTGATTTCTTTTTTCCTTTTCTTCCTTTCACTTTGCAGGTGGACATTTGCTTTGGTGACAATCTATTTTGCGGTATCTCTCTGGTGCAGATCTTTTTATACATTTTGATGTTGTCTAAGGAGCAATTTCTTTTCAGTTCACCCCAAAGAAACACATGAGTGTTAGTGCAACTGTACAAGAGCCATTTATATATTGATGTTTCCCTAACTTCATTAGATTTTGGTAGAAGGGTGGTTCCTCAATGATTAATTTGATGTATCTCAGTTTGCATAAGTTACTGATGCTCTGAAATTCAATTTGCAGCTGGGATCTTCAGTTTCCATTTATGGATGTTGCTTCTGTCATTGTGGACTGGGTGGTGATCGGGTGAATCATGAGACTTTAGATGCCGAGCGAGGCACCTACATAGCTCCAACACTTAGGGAAAGTGCGATCATATCCAACTCAAACAAAAGTTTAGATACCAGTCGAGAACCTCACACTCGAGAAATGGCAAGTCCATGGGGCTATGTTTTTCAAATTGCTTTTCAGGTAAGCAATCATTTAACAATCAGCTGCCTTAGTTTCAACTGAAAAATGAACATTTTATTTTCTGTTTTTTGGTTCTCCTGTTTCTTTTATTGTTTCCACCAGGAGGTAACTTGCTTTATTCCCTTTATATGTTTATGTTGAAGTTTCAACTTGAAAAGAAGAATCCAAATGGGAAAAAAAAAACAACAAAAATCTGAAGTAGCGTATGGTGGTCTTATTTATGAGTTGTTTATCAAAGATCAGAAGTATCGCCAAAAGGGTCAGGTTCTGACACTTGTTTAACAGAAATATGGAAAGATACAAAATGTACTAAAGTGCCTTAAGTGAGTTTGAGATAGTTGGGCAAGGATCATGTTGTGGAAAACTTAGAAGGATGGCTTTCAGACCAGCTATATTTCTTGGTCTGGAATGCTCTGGCAATTAAGTGACAGCACTTAAACTGTCGTTTTGTGAAAGAATGTTGAGTAATTTCTCACAAAAATAGATAGAAGGGAAATAATAAACGTGAATGTTCTATGGACTTGCTTGACGCACATGCAGAGGAGGCTTACTGGCCATCATTGAACTTGATCCAGATGTTCATGTAGAGAGATTCAATTATTGGTGATGGATATTAGGAAAGGAGATTTGGTAAAAATTCTGTGGTTGGTGCTGTACTTTTATACCTACTCCTAGCCAATTGACAACTTTCCTCAACTATGGGTAATCCTAATCTGTAAGGTGTTGGCTTAATCCATATTAGAAACTTCCTAGCTAGTTATATTCGCTCCATGGTACACGGATGTAAGAATAGGAGTACTTTGCTTCTGGTTTGTTATTTTTCAGAATTGCTAGGCTTCCTACGGTCTTATAAGAACTAAGCACTCATGCCTTTGAACAATAAATCCACTGGTTTGGACTAAGTTGTGCACAAAATCTTACCTTTTTTTATCTTTATTATTGATGGTAATGCAACTGTTGTGCTACATTATTTGGTTTTTTCTTTTTTTGGGCAAATTTTTTAATTTGCTGGCTGCTTCTGTAACTATCTTATATATCTTTTAAATGGTGTTGCTCGATACACAAAAGGTAAGCTGTTGAAATGCCTCGCTTACTGTTTTCTTTATCTATCTATGAACAGATGTGTGCAGGTGCTGTGGTGCTAACCGATTGTGTGTTCTGGTTCATTATTTATCCATTTCTAACAGCAAAAGATTTCAGTCTTGATTTTGTAAGTATCAATACCACCCCATTCAGTTCTTTGCTTCTGCTGAGTTGTACATATGGTGGCAGGGTGGAGGTTTGGGCAAGGAAGGGGAGGGAGGAAGTATGGTTGATTGTAAGAATAACCTGAGATGGCAAGTTAATTTTCTCCATTGGCTGAAAATTGATCTGATTTTCAGTTTTACAGAGGAAACCTTACCAAGACCGCCGTCTGACTCTTTTGCTTTTGTGCTTGGACATATGTAGAAGAACAGGGCTAATAGAAGTGAACCTTTCTAAATGCACATGCTTTACTGTTTTTATGAGTTCAAGTAATTTATTGTGGATGTGTTCAAGGTTTCTGGAAAATTGGAATAGAAGTGTTCTGACATAACAATAATTGTCTTTGATACATGTGAGAATATTCTTTAATTTCTTATTTATTTTTTTTCTAAACTACGAAGTTGGTTTTAGTTTTCTCCATTTTCAAGAAACTAACATAACATGAGTCATGCATTAGAGTTTTTATAAAATTTGAAGTCTCGGTTGTAGATTAAGCTAGTCAAGTGCAAGCCATAATCAAAGGATGTGTTGAGGAAATATATGCTGCAATTCATTGCATTGTATTGTAAAATGTGTATATTGCCCTTCTACTGCCTTTCATTTGAAAATTATGTCCACTTTTGTAACTACAGCTGAATGTCTGCATGCACTCGGTCAATGCTGTTTTTCTACTTGGTGACACAGTTTTGAATTGCATGGTAACTCTATTTCCTTTGTAACATTGGTGGTTTTTATATTCCAATTCCTTAATGGCCAATCACATATTCACAATTGTCCTCTTCTTCCAGCGATTTCCCATGTTTCGGATTGCATATTTTGTTTTATGGACGAGTATATTTGTCATTTCTCAGTGGATCATCCATGCTTGTGTTTCAATGTGGTAAGCTATATGTCATTTTGCCTTTTTTATTTATTCACATATGATCATTTTAGTTTTTCTGCATGCTGACCATACCTTTCTCTCAGGTGGCCTTATCCATTTCTTGATTTGTCATCACCATATGCCCCCTTATGGTATGTAATGACGATCTCATTGTTTTTGTTATTACTATGTGGCAAAAGCTTATACATCCAACATCAGACCTGATACCAGCAAGTTTAGGGTGCTGTTTCTCCAAACAATTTACCCATGATGCCTTGAGAAACTAAGAGATTTCGTTGGACTTAAACGTCTTAACTAGCAACTGGAAGCGATGATTTTGGCATTTAAGAAAAAAATATTCATCCTTTTGTTACTTAAGTTAGTCACATGAACCTGCAGGTTCTTAGGCTCTAGTTGACTAGTTTCAAGGTAGGCACATCTATTTAGTTATTGTGATCGCCGGTCAGTAGGCAATCGTGGTATTTTGTTCACTGAACTGTTTTAGGTTTAATTAGATAATTCAAGTTGCAGAGGGCGCTCGAAGGTTAGCACGGCAACATTCTGATTTCTGCTAGTTCAATTCTGACTGTTACGACTGATAATTAAAGATTTGCTTGATTCTGCCAGGTTATAATATTGCTGCTGATGAACTTACTCATCAATGCCGCTGCTATTGCTTGTACAGGTACATGGCCGTGGGGTTGATGCATGTTCCATGCTACGGCATCTTTGCTTTGATAATTAAGCTGAAGCACTTTTGGTTGTCAAGATCATTTCCAGAGTTCTATCAGGGTTTTAAGTGAGAATTAGGACGGTACCTGCCCCACATCATTATCATTGTTGCTATTAGCACCCTATGGTTTTTTGGGAGTAATTGATCGGGCTCTTCACATAGTACATAGTATCATTGTTGTTTTTGATAGAGGAGCAGCTGTGGATTTGAGATCATAGCAACCAGCACGAGCAAGAGTTTTTGCTGAAATAGTAAGATTTTGCAGAAAACACAATGTAAAAATTGCCAAGCACCTACCATTCTTTTGCGTCTCTTGAAAAAGAGATTTACTAAATAAAACGTGCTTGGAATTTTGGACAGTTCATCAAGGAAACGCAATGGCACTACGCCACTCATTTACTAGTGGCATGTAGATTTCTTTTCTTTTCCAAAATCATCGTAATCCTAGCATTTTTTGTTTTTTCTTTTATGGTGCAGCATGCCATAACTATTTTGAGGGGTATTTGCAATATGAGTATACCTACTTTAAAAATAATAATAATAAAAAGAATAATAATTTATGCAGCATATTACCTCAGCAATTAAAAAAAAATGATGTCACTGCACAAAGATTGTACATTCAATTTTTATATGACCTAAATCCTATCTAATAGTTTGTAAAGCATATCAATATGCTTAAAGTTAAATGTATTTTAATGTTTTTTGAACTTCCTCTTGGAAACAATTGTTGAGTACAACAAAAAGAATTAGACAAATAAATAATAGAACTACATTATAACAAAAACTAATAATAATAAAAAGGAATTAATGATATTCTCGTCTAAGAGCAAAAATACATGCCTGATTAGCAGGTTTTAGGTTTACAAGGCGCCTAGCTAAGAGAAATAACGAGGACTTTGATCTTAAGAGTCTTACACCCAATTCCTAAGATGCTTCTTTTAAACAACGTATGTTCCAGCAAGAAAAGATGCTGTTTAGGAAAGGTTTAACGATAAATAAATTATTTTGATTTGGTTAAAATTAAAATTTAATTTTTATTACAAACCAATAACCAGTTATAATTATGTTTTAGTAGTATTAAGTTTGGACTTTAAAAATAATTTAGTAATAGATTAAAAGTTAAATTTATTCTATATTGATTTAACTGAAAAATGATAAATTTTATTTCGATTAATATAAAAATTATTTCAATAATATTCTATTACCTATAAAAAAAATTTTTAAAAAAAAACATATGGTTCATACCTACATAAATAGAAGAAGGTTAGTTGCATTTAGGGATGTGGCCATGGCCGCCTGAAACTATTGACAACAACATTGTTCTCTTTTGATAGATAGCGGGCAACATTCTCGTTTTTGACTTATTGCATTAAATTAGAATATGAAATGATCTATGTAATTGAATTTATGAATTACTTCAAAGTGAATAATAATAAGTTCCAATTAAATGGTCAGAACCCAAAAGTCAACAAAACTAAGTATGACATTCACCATTCCTTTATATATATATATATATATATATATATATCGCCACCACTCGTATTTCCCAAAAGGGAAGGGAAAGCCGAACTCTGTTCTTGACTGCATTAAGTCCATATTTGTTGAGTCAATATTGGGTTATGTAATTAAGTATTGGTGTCCAGTCCAAGGCAAAAATACTCTTTTTTATTAGAATAAATCCCAACTTAAGTGCTTCAGTTTTAATAACAAATACATCTTTTATAGTTTGCAAAGTCAGCATCACAACTTTACAAAAATAAATACAATCACGACCAACTAATCTTTTACAAATATATTTTATTCAAAAACAAATCTGTATATGCATGCACATGAATTTAGTCAATATTTCATGTCACCTATCGACATATAAATATGTTTAATTAAAAAAAAAAAAGTAGAACATAATCAAATGTATACTTCCCCACCTTCATGCTCATTGAGGAATCAGTCTCCAACTTATGACTTTGTCTGTACAAAATTAGTTAATTTTTCGATTGGACAAAATAAGTTTCGTGAATATGATTTTGTTTGTACGATCTCTCTAAATTTCTTTTGTGTTGCAAGAAGCCACGTGTAAAGTGAAAAATTCTGATATTTGGATGGAAGGAAAGGCTCTTTGAGATAATCGCCCACATTAGTGAGTAATTAATAATTGATTGCGTAACATTTGGGTGGAATGGACCAAACACTTCGGGTAGTTGAAAGTTGAAGAGCTGGTCCAATATGGTAGGTGCCGCATCTGCCCGTCCATTCTATTATATATATTATATAGTATTATAATAATAATGGCAGAAAAATAGGTGGATTAGCTAATTCAATTGATACCCACAAAGGTTCGTTCGTCATCATTCAACTTCACTTCAGATCCTAATTTCAAATTATGGTGGTCCATTTTTATTAAGACGGTATACCTATATTTGATTAATTCTTTCGCAAAAATTATCACAAATTTTAGTCAAATATGGATAGCTTGATTTAAACTAAATATTCTTTTTAAAAAAAACGTGAATATTTGAAAATTAATTAAAAAATAAAATAAAATTTTTTAATCATTTCTTAAACTTTTACTTTCAAATTACCTATTTTTAACACCTGATGATTAAAAAAAAACACACACACACAACCTCATCATGACTGATTTAATAGTATTGGTTTCTGTATTAAAAAAAAAAAAAAAAAAAAAGCAGCTTCTAATTTTAAAAACTATTATTTAATTCTTTACTCATTATTAATCACGTTTAATTTTAATATTATTTTTTTTTATTTTTTTTTTGAAAAAAAAATCTAATTTTACTTTGGAGGGTTTTTTTTTTCAACAGAAATAAAACAAACTGAAATTTGCAACTATAAATACCAGCCAGTACTTGAAACCAAAAGTAGATTCAAGTCTTGGCTGTCGTCGTCATCGTCTTCTCTTCAGTTCGTTCCTTCTGCATTCCTATTTGAACGGTAATTGGTCAGAGTGACCGTTTGTTTATTCTTTTTTTAGTCCTTGTTATGTGTTTGTGATTAAGGTGGTAATAATTTATGTTAATAGATCTGTATTGAGTTTGAATTCAGGTAAGGAAAAGAAATTAAAATGGCACGCAAGAAGATCAGAGAGTACGACTCCAAGAGATTGTTGAAGGAGCATTTCAAGAGGTTTTCTGGTCGCGATTTGCCCATCAAATCTGCTCAAGTTAGTCCATCTTCACCCCTTCATTTCTTTTTCCCTTAAAGTAATCCATTGATTGTTTAGATATGTTGCAAATGTTACAATAGATGATGATTTTCGATGGATTTATATTGGTTGACCAACAACGCATCTCCAAATTATTGTGCATTTAAAAACACAAATTCCCATATCCGATATGTTGCAAACGTTACGTTTTCCTTGTCCTTGCTATGTTTTAGGTGACGGAATCGACTGATTTCAATGAGCTAGCAGAGAAAGAACCTTGGTTGTCATCAACAAAACTGGTTGTAAAACCTGACATGCTGTTTGGGAAACGCGGGAAGAGTGGTCTTGTTGCTTTAAATCTGGATTTGGATCAAGTTGCTGAGTTTGTCCAACAACGTCTTGGCAAAGAGGTAGAAATGGGCGGATGCAAAGGACCTATTACAACATTCATCGTTGAACCCTTTATCCCCCACGACCAAGAGCTCTATCTAAACATTGTCTCCGAGAGACTTGGATGCAGCATCAGCTTTTCGGAATGCGGAGGAATTGAAATTGAAGAGAACTGGGATAAGGTATTGTTGTTACATGGGAATTTTAGATCAAGTGTCTTGTTCTGGTTTCGTATTTTATCGCTTCATAACTTCCAATGGGATCTGTTGGTTGTTGAACAGGTTAAGACCATATTTGTTCCAACAGGGACAACATTCACGTCCGAAGTTCGTGCTCCACTTGTTGCGACCCTTCCTTTGGAGGTAATCATTTTCAATGAAACAGCGGCCTTTCTCACCCTTCCTAATGCAGTGTTGGAAAGAATGCTATCAAAATAGAGAATCATATTATCGTTCTGTTTACTTTCGTATTTGGCATTTACGCACATTTGGTTTAGGCTTTTATTCTGGACGAGGATTCAGTGACACATAATTTTTTCTTCTATCCAGATAAAAGGAGAAATTGAGGAGTTCATTCAAGTAGTTTTTGCTCTTTTTCAAGGTATGTCAATGATCTTTGGTGAAAGCATATCATATTGTAATTATAAAGTTCTTTGGTTATTAGAATTTTATGTTAATTTCCTTTGCTTTTATTGCTAGATCTTGACTTCACTTTCCTAGAGATGAATCCTTTCACTTTTGTTGATGGAAAGCCCTATCCCTTGGATATGAGAGGCGAGCTGGACGACACTGCAGCTTTTAAAAACTTCAAAAAGTACTTTCATTTGCTTAACTGAACCTTTACTTTCTTTTCTTTTTATTAATAAGAGGTAATGGTGTTTTATGGAAGTATTGGAGTGGATCGATTAATCCACTTTATTCAAAACCGAAAATGGTTGAACGGACAGGCACAAGACAAAGCATAGTTAAAAGTTGTATAAAACCAAGTGTTTTTAACCCCAGTGATTCAATGCTTTGATTTATTGAGCACATGCCTTGCAATCTTCACTATCATCTTACCCAATTTATTCTTTTGAAGGTGGGGCAACATTGAATTTCCAATGCCATTTGGAAGAGTTATGAGCCCTACTGAAAGCTTTGTTCATGGCCTAGATGAAAAGGTAACACTCTAAATTGATAGATGCCTTGTCCTGTACTGCACTTGAAATCTGTTTTCATTCACTTAATGCTGTGCCTTTAGTTTCTTTTTTTTTTTTTTTTTCCATTTGTGTCTCTCATTCCTTGTCAATCCTCTGTTGTGCATGAACTGAAGTTGTTACGAATCGAGAACATATTTCACTGTTAAGATTTTGGTTATTCCTTAGACTTAGAATTCTAAGAAGACTTTTTAATCAGGTTTATATTTCCAGGTTAGAATCTTATGATGTTCTGATTCTTTTCCTTTAATTATCTTGCAGACAAGTGCATCTTTGAAATTCACTGTACTGAATCCAAAGGGGCGAATTTGGACCATGGTGGCTGGAGGAGGTGCAAGTGTCATTTATGCTGATACGGTAGGGCTATAGATGTTTGGATGCAGGATTGCCAGAAACTCTGCCAATTTTCATTCCTTTTTTTCCCCAATTTGTGTTGGCTTCTTATATCAATTAATTGTTGCTGGCCAGGTCGGAGATCTTGGCTATGCTTCTGAGCTCGGGAACTATGCAGAATATAGTGGAGCCCCCAATGAAGAGGAGGTGTTGCAGTATGCCAGAGTTGTAATTGATGTAAGGACTTTCTCTCTCCACTCTTTAGGTGTTATGTTACTGTTTTACATTGCTAGAGTAACTGACATTTTCATATTTGACCACTTCATGCTATTTTACATTACTGTTTTTTTTTTTTTTTTTTCCTGAAAGCAATGCATAAACATGCTCCAGGATAGCTGCCTGATATTCCTTTATAATTTTTTTAATTTTTTAATTTTTTATTTTAAAAGTGATGCTTGCCAGTCGTGAAAGAAAGATTAGGAGAATATTTTATGATGCTCATAAACTTGCGGATTTGTGTTCTGTATTTCATCTTGGCTGTACAAATAATCTCATTACATATTTACAGTGTGCAACTTCTGATCCTGATGGCCATAAGAGAGCCCTTGTAATTGGAGGAGGAATTGCTAACTTTACTGATGTTGCTGCTACATTTAATGGTATAATTCGAGCCTTGAAGGAGAAGGTGAGTTAGTCTGGCTAGCATTTTTTTTTCTTCATTCTTCTTTCATTCCCAAGGTTAATGGCAACACCAATGCAATGCCATATTGCCCTGCATTTACTTAATAAAGTCCATACCTTTGCTACAAATTGAAATTGAAAACCTTCTTCTACAAATGCAAAATTGTTACTGTGAAATCCCATCCTTTTAACTGCAAAGTCCGGGCTTGGGTTAGACTTGGATCTTATGTTAAACAGGGTTTGGACTGAACTGCTCTGGATCTCTTTAAAGTCTCCTTGTTTTATTGTACTGGTGATAATTGGGTATGGTATTTTATTTAACAGGAATCGAAGCTGAAAGCAGCAAGGATGAATCTATATGTGAGAAGAGGAGGTCCTAATTACCAGAGGGGCCTTGCAAAAATGAGGGCACTGGGAGAGGAAATTGGAATCCCAATTGAGGTACTGATATGTGGGAAATTTCCTTAGCCTTTTCCTTCATTGCACTTTAAAAAAATAATGCAGCATCACAAGCAATAGTAACAACTGATACTTATTATTGTTTCTGCGTTCTCTTATAGGTTTATGGGCCCGAAGCAACAATGACTGGCATATGCAAACAGGCAATCCAGTGCATCTCCGCAGCTGCATAAGTTATCGATTTCTTACTCGAAGTTTCGAGTTTCCATTAGATGATGTTAGCACCATTTTCTTTCTACTAGAAATCCCACTATATACAGGTTAGCTGTAGTAGATCAGGTAAGGCTTTTGCCAAAATGAAAATGTAATCTCTAACCTGATGGTGGTACTGTTTCCGCTGCTTATTTCTGCATTTCACTATCGATGCTCTGTTGGAATAAACTGTTGAACAAGGGCTGGGCTGCCTCATTTCACTTTTTTTACTGTGAGACAAATGCCACGTTAAAGTGGATAGAGTGTATTGGTCTGTTAATATATGCTCAACATTTCTCCTACTTAAAAGAATAAAAAATAAAAATTTCCTATGAGCTCAAATAATCGGACCTCTCGTCACATGTATATTCATCCTTGTTTCGCAACTTTAATTTGTGATTTTTAGGAGTTTACGGTCTGGTATCTGAACTTGAAATCGAGGTTTGATGTTTTTACGAATTTGAATAAGAATCTGACAATTGAAGAACTTATAATTCGGTTAACTTGAAACCATTTCAAAATATGTGCAATACTTCAAAAAAAAATATTAAAAATGAAACAGCTTTAAGCATTGACTTTAACTTTTGTAATCTTTTAATTCAAGGTTAAATCTCATAAATATCACAATTTGGCATTTAAGTTTTGTTTTTCACACCGTTTAATATTTATAATTAATTTATTGAAACTTGAATATATATATATATATATATATATATATATATTAAAAATTTATAAAATTCACTTAAAGGCTAACCGAAGCAAACATGTTGTGTTTGTGTGTGTGTGTGTATATATACACATAAATGAATATGATAGGGACTTATTGAATATATAATGTTATCTTTAAAACGTAAAAAAAAAAAAAAATCAATTTAATTGGAATTCTAATAAAACTATAACTTTACTTTTTAAGTAGTTATGTTTATGAAATTTCTAAGTGCTGACTATAAAATTTAGTTTCCATGTGATATAATTGTTCATCTTGTAGAGATTTTATATGTTTTTTAATTTTAAATGTAACTAGTAGTTATTAATTAATATGATGTAGACTTATTGTAATAGGTTTATTAACTACAAATGGAATTAATATAATTTTTTTAAAATTACTATTGAGTATTGAGAAGTTTCCAACGGATAAAAAAAAAAAACAGTGAATATATGTTATGTATTTACTAATATATATAAAAGATAATAAGTTCCGTTACTTTAGATTTGCAAATCAAGTATCTTAACGTGAACATATAATCTGAAATTTATAGATTCGATTGAAATCAAACCTAAAATCAAATTCGATTAACCTAAATTTTAAATATGATTCGAACGATTAAGATCTGTTGTTAGATTTATAGATTATGTTAAACACTCTTAGTCAGAAAGAATGTAACTGTGATTTGTTTTTCTACCCTTCTTCAGTGTACTCAAATCCTTGTGTAATTTACGGAATTTCAAATACTAAAAATAATTTAAGTATAGGAGCCCAAATAAGAAAATTGACAGAACACAGGCATCCGATTTTTTAATATCTCATCGTGGAAATGTGGTGAAAAGTTTATGTACTTGACAATGATTGAAAAATTCAGTAGAGACACCATGCGATTGCAACTTGGCAAAGGCATGGTAGAAGAATGCTATCCTGTTGGTCAATATTTTTTGGTACATGTACTTTAAAATTTTGAATATAACTTGATATTTATCGGATTTGTGGCATAGGACAAAATAATAATAATAATAATAATATATTTAATATTGGATACGTGAGGAAATGATTAGGATTTTCTAGAGTTGAAGTTGTAATTTAAAAAAAAAATGGTTCAAATGTAGTTATAAGTTTTATAAGTTATATAATTTTTCAAGTTGCATAATTGATCAATTTTTAATATGTTCTTATATAATTGATCAATTTTTCAATTTGTTTTTATATTTTTTAATCGAATCTATTGTGTTTTTAAATAGTGTCTAATTGTTCAGCTAGTCCTTTTGATTACTTTTCTGATCAGAAGGTCATGTGTATGTCACTTGACCAAAATTTATTCTCGAAATGCTCCTCGTCGGAAAAAAAACAAGTTTTTAATATGTTGATATATTTTTAATTACGTTTATTATATTTTTATAGAATATATAATTTTTTAATATGCCCCTTTAATTAAGCATTATAACATATACTAAAAAAGAATGGGGTTTCATTGTAGCTGAGCCCTTGTTACAGTGAACCTCAACGACGCCATTTTTATTATAAAAAAAATTTAATGATTTTTTTGTCAATTTTTTCAATGGTTTACACTTTGATCCTCTAAGTTGTTAATTTATATAAAGCTATCTCTAATTTTAATTAATATTACAAAAAGAGTCCCTATAATTGTTTTTGCTAGACTAGGTTATTTTTTTCATTATTTATTATTTAATTAAACTAAATTTGTTCCATAATTAATTGTTATTTTTTCTATTTTTATAAATATTTATTAACTAAAATTATATATTCTTCTAATATAAATTGATTAAACTCCTCATTCGAATTTGATTTTTTAAAAATAAATAATTAATTACATGTATTTTTTATGTATCAAAATAAAAAAATTTCCTAATATATATTTAAATTCAACTGCATTGAGTAAAGATTGATAGTTCCTTTAAAATTTCTTCTCAAATACCGGCTATCGGTGGAATGCGATTGAGTGCAATTTGAGCGAACAGAGGCATCACTTGTGAGCTGTCGCCATGCGCACTTCCACAACCATGTAATGGGCTAGCTAATGGGTTGGAAGTTGGAAGACTGGCAGATAGAGAAAATCAAAATGCAATTTGAATGAATAGAGAGAGAGAGAGAGAGAGAGACATTTCCTTTTCGGCTAACAACCGCACTGAGTAGAGATTGATCGTTCCTTTAAAACTTCTTCTCAAATTAATACCGGCTTTCAATGGAATAGGATTGGTGCCATTTGAGCGAACAGGGAGGCCTCACTTGTGAGCTGTCGCGATGCATGTAATGGGCTGGCTAAGGCGTTGGGAGTTGAAGACTAGAGAAAAACAAAATGCAATTTGAATGAACAGAGAGACATTATTTTGTCACTTCTTTTTCAGTTTCAAGGACTTGCAAACATATATGGCGTGATGTTAATTAGCTGTAGAAATCTGAAAGCTTACTTGAAAAAACAGATCAAGGAGGATATTTTCCACGAAACAAACACATTCTTATCTAAAAATTTAATACACCCAAAGAATTTTTTTGTCTTGACCAATAGTTTAATAAATACAGCACGTTTTAGCCTATTTCTAGTAAGCAAAAGTGAAATAATTAAGATTATTCCAATTAATTCTTATGAAAATATATATTCAACGTGACCACGATACAAGTTTCTAACTTAAATTGTAATATTTTTTTTAAAAAAAATAATCATGGATTCAATTTCTAATAAAACTAAAAAAAATTAGTAATACTAACCGCTAACCATTGATCATATTTACGAAAAAAAGAAAAAAGTCTTACCAATTATGAGATTCCAATTCATAATTCATATAATAGAAAGCGAAGAAAAGGAAAGAGAAAAGGGGGCTGTCTTCAAATGGGTGCCTCTGTATTTTATTTGGGTGGATTCTTTGTTCTTTTAACTTCCTCATTGTAAAATTTTATTCTCCTCACGATACAAGTAGCATAGGTGCGAGATTCATGGAAACATACAGACGCACCTTTTCATTTTTTCCCTTTTCTCATTAAGCATCTTAGACCAAATATATATATATATATATATATATATATATATATATATATATATATATATATATACATGAATTTAGTTCAAACTAATCATGTGATTTTAATTTATTTACAGTAGAATCTACCACACCAACTAATTAAAAACCATTTTGATTTCAACCCATGATGATCATATAAAAATTAACGCAGCCCATGCATCAACCTTGCCTGTTAATTTCCAATCTGTCCGACTTCTGTGAAGATAAAAAAAAAGAAAAAGATGTCCATAAATCATTTTTTTTTTTATCTCTCTTTATATAGAATTAATAACAATATCCATATCGCCATTCGCACCCTCTCGTCCCTATATAAACACTACTAAAAACCATATCCTTCCAAGTTGCAACCTAAACTCAACAATCACTGCAGCACCACCAATTATATAATATTAGTAATTGATTACAATACTTGAAAGCGATGGAGGTTGCCGGAGATAATTTAGTAGAAGCTCCAAATCCAATCCATGGAGACATCTTGGAGTCAATATTCAATCACGTTCCTCTCATAGATCTTGTTCCTGCCACTTACGTGTCCAAGTCCTGGAAATTTGCAGTTTCCACTTCTCTGCAGGAAGGTGCTGGTGGTCGACGCCGTCGCTCCAAGTACAGAATCAAACCATGGCTTCTAATCTACAGCCAGACCACAAGGTTTCCTCACTCAACTACAGCACACGCTTACGACCCACGTTCACACGTTTGGGTTCAGATCCATCAGCCATCTATCAAGTTCGTCTCAGCCCTCCGATCCTCTCACTCCACTCTCCTTTACATGCTTTCACCCTCCATCTTTTCCTTCTCTTATGACCCTCTCCACCTCACCTGGCACCACATCAAGGCCCCACTCATGTGGAGAACCGACCCCATTGTGGCCATGGTTGGCAAACGAATCGTCATCGCTGGCGGCACCTGTCACTTCGAAGACGACCCTTTGGCTTGCGAAATGTATGACCTGGAGACCAGCGAGTGGGAAACGTGCGAGTCCATGCCTGCGATATTCAGGGAATCAGCTGCCCCCACCTGGCTCTCCGTTGCAGTGAACTCCAACAAGAACAAAATGTACGTTGTAGAGAAAAGCACGGGGGTAGCTTACTCCTTCGATCCCAGCATCAAGGCATGGCATGGACCTCACCATCTGCGTCCTCATACAATAACTAGTATCTGCCGCTACTTCATTGGATTTGCCAATAATGATCGTTTGATTTTGGTTGGTATAACGGGAGATGATGATATTGAAAGCGTAAAACTGTGGGAGGTGGACTGCGAGTCACCGGAGATTCTCAGAGACATTGGAGAAATGCCAAAGCAACTGGTGGACAAGATGAAAGTCCGCGGTGATGATGGCATGGGCTTTGACATGTCCACATGGTCGTCAATAAGTGTAAGTTTAATGGATGATTTTGTTTACATATACAGCAGTAGTGATGGAGGAGGATCAATCATCATGTGCGAGATTGGTGGTGGGGATGAAAGCAGTGCGGATAACTGGAGTAGTGTTGTGAGTATGAATGCAGGAAATGATGTGGACAGATATCGATTAACAAATAGGATAGTTTTAGCTTGTTCAAAAGTCGGTTTGGATGACCTAGATAAGGCTATCATGAGTAAGAGTAGGAAATTTTCTACCAGAGACATTATGTAATTTTTACTTCAAGTCCTTAATTTCCATCGTTCTAATAGGAAATTTTCTATGAGAGAGATTATGTAATTTTTACTTCAAGTCCATAATTTCCATCGTTCTAAGTTATTTTCCTTTTTTAATTATTTTCTTGTTCTCTCTTCAAATAAAAAAATATTAAAATGATTTTTTTTTAATGTGTACATTTTATTTTACTGTCTAATCCAACCCATAGAAATTTCTAATAATGATTTGAAACGCGATGCATTTTTATATCAATTAGAAGTATTTTTAAATTAATTTGAGCATCAATTAGAAGTATGTTTTCTTAATAATTTTAAAAATACATTTTTAAATCAATTCGATGCACGCATTAGAATTTATTCATTTGTTCGTTGTTACAATGCAATGAACCTAGAAAAGAAACAAACTTCTATTAGTACTAAATTAATTCTTTTTTCAAATCCTTCAAAGTATCCTAAACTTAAAATTTAAACCAATCATTCGTTATTCAGTCAGACATATAATATAAAAATAACTATTTAAAAAATATTTTATATAGATAAAAACTTAAATTTAAAATTAGTTAATTAAATGGCTAGAATCCCTTTTATTTAAATCAATCTTATTAAATACACCAAACTAATTGTTTAAAGCTAGCTATAAAGAATTTAAAGCACTAAACTAATTCTTTAAAGCTAGCTATAAAGAGTATTTACCAATTAGTTGCTTTGAAAGAAACAGTACATATGAACGGGGTATATAATACTAATTTTTGGTAGCTCTCCATTGAAAATCCCACTCTCTCCGTGGTGAGTCACGCTCGCAATGGCGCGTTTCATTTTGTGCGAATCGTGTTTTGTACTTAACAACTGCTCAATAATATTAATAAAAATATTACACATAACATGAATTATAATAATAGATATTATTGGATCGTCCCATTCGCTGTAGGATTAATTCATTATGGTCTTTATCGTCTAAGGCTTGTCAAGTGGAAACGGGTTGGTGAGCGATTGTGTTTGCTTGATGCGGGTTTAAGGTTCAGCTCAAATAAGAAAAAGAAAAAGAAAAAGAAAAAAGGAAATAAGGTCAAATTAGGTTTGCTTTTTGGTCCCTGGGGCCTGGTGACAGTGCCAAAAGCCAACTGCTAAGTCAGACAAATTTACCATGATGTATCGAATATATTAAAGTTAATAAATTAAAATAAAAACTGTTATAAAATTAGTTCTCAGAAATTTTACTTCTTAATCCATGATGAAAGAGATTCTTAAACTACAAATTAAATAATAAGTTGATTCCTCTCGTTTTGAGAAATTAATTAATTAATTCCATAGGGACTAATTAATTTGTTTCTCAAAGAAAGAGGGACTAATTATAATCACTCTTGAACCACAAGTGACTTTGGCTTCCCTATCGAAAATGAGAAGAAAAAACATTGAAAGAAGACAGAAGCATTAAATGCTCAATCTAAAAAAATATGATGAAAAAGGCACAAAAATAAAATTAAAAAGAGAATCACTCAAGGATAAAAATAGAGTTTCTCAAATTCATCAAGTGTCAAAAAAGAAATTAACGAAAAGGTAGGGGCGAAAAATCAAGCAACACAATGAATAGTGAATCTAAGTCTAAAATAATAATAAATGAATAGTAAATATCTAAGTTTTGTTTAGTTTTTTCCCACTAATATATATTAAATTAAAAATAAAAGATAAAAATTTTATTTAATTTCATAATTTTTAATCAAATTTTGTATTTCGTTCGTGATTTTTTATGTTTTTTTTTAAAAATACGATTCATTTTTTTATTCATTGATTTTTAAATACAACCTAAAATAATATAAATAAAAATTTTTAAAAATATCTTAATATTTTTTTTATAAGGCCACATCCGAGAAAGATATCAACAATCTATAAAAAAAATTTATAAAAATTAGCTAATGAATCTTTTTAAACTTCTTAAAAATATGTACATTTGATATATAGACACGGACGTATAAAACAATCAATAATTTTAGGTGTAAAAACATGTATTTGAATAATTAGGTGGTTCTTTTAAAATGTTATTTTTTAAAAAATTAATTAAATTTAGAATATTAAAAATAAATAATAGAAAATAGTTGGTGTTATATGTGTAAATGCATAATTAATTTTTCATAAAATCAATTATCTCAATACTATTTTGTATACATTATTACATCATTATCATATTCAGTACAAATGAAAAAAATATGTTTAAAAAAATTTAAGTTGTAAGAAATATATTAAAATTAATAGAGTGCAATAAAAATAATTTTAAAATTTGATTATATAAGAATAAAGTAAAGAAACACGTGAATCATATTATTTATTAAAAAAACATATTAAAAATTCATACATAGAGAAAGATAAATCATATTTATTAACAAATAAAATTTCATAAAAAATAAAAAATTTAATTTGATGAGAATTTTTTTAATAAACGAAAAATTTAAGAGATTAATTTTAATCAATAAAAAAATATAATCCGATATATATATATATATATATATATATATATATATATATATATATATTTGTTTTAAAATTAAAAACATATTTTAAAAATATGAGGAATAAAAAGTATATTTTGAAAAAATGTGAGACAAAAATGGATTAACTTAAAAGCATGAGATGTCAAAATACTTTTAAAAATATGAGGATTTAAAAATATATTTTGAAAACATAAGGGACCAAAAAAGAATGAAGAGTAAAATTTAAAAATGAATGCCAAAAAAGCTATAAGAAAATTAAGAAAATACTATTATAAGAAATCATAAAATTACCACCAAAGCAAATGAATAGTATTTTACTCTTCATTTGCCCAGCTTCTTTTAGTTTTTTAGTTAATTAGTAGTGCCAATAGGAACACACAAATGAATTAAATTATGAAGTTGATTTTAGTCACATACCGGATGTGGTTAATCAAACTACGAATAAATTAAGGAAACCTTGAAAATATTTTACATTAAATAAATTTTATAAGATGGTGGTTAGCCAAACTAATAACTTGTGAAATGTCTTGTAATTCAATGATGGCATTTTTTTTCTTTGTTAATATTGTTTTGACTATCTCCTTACAAACGCAAACTTAAGCAAATAAATGTCAATTATGAAGCCGATTCCAGTCATATCATATCTCAATGATGGCATTTTAGGGTTTTACTTCTCACGGTAGTAAAGGACCTTGAACTTGCACTTCTATCATCAAAGTATTCTTCAGTACCTCTCTTTTCTTGATATGTTAAAGCATCTATAGGTTATTCCCTAGCTAACAATCGCATTTCTCCGGGGAACTTCGATGAACTCTCAAAGATTTGCCGAGCCACCTCTTTGAGATGATTTATCAAAATTATAACTAGATGAACTAGGCTATGAATCATCCGATTGATGCATCTCAAAGCTTGCATTATCAACATAAAACCCATAAAGGGGAGCCCCTCTCCTACTCATGTCGAAATCATGATTAGTCTCCCTAACATTCATTTCCATGAGAGCAAAATTCTCATTACCGAGTTCAACGGAATCTTCTTGGTTTGAACCACTACTAGTAGTTTATGACTAGAACATGGCTAGCTAATGTAGAGTCATAATATTCTTAGAGAATTTTCATGGTTTCGTCATCTATATCACATATGTAATTAAGTTTTTAGAAGGTCATTCATCATTAAAATGCTTTCAATCGACCACATTTAACTAGAAAGTTATCAAGCGATTGGATATGATCTACATCAAAATCTTATGTTGATGGTGAAGGTGGAATTTTATTTCCTCATACAATGTTAGAAAAGTCCTACACTAAGTGGTATGCGCAATTAGTTAAATATGAGTAGGGAACTTGTTTGAAAAATAGATAGCCCTCTAAGTGCCATGGTAGGCGCCTTGTCACTCGTCGATCACTTACAAAAAATTTAGTAAAGTATATTGACATTCGTTTCCTTTTTTAGATTGTTCAAGATTTGGCGAGAAAATGAGCATTCAAGTGAAGAGATACATCAATAGAGAATTTATACTTGGCAACATTAATAATCTCAAGAAATAGAATTTTCAAGAACAATACATATATGAATTAGTGTCAAGGTTAATGGTATCTTGAACATCATTCTTTTGAGAAAATTAATAGTTAGATGTCTATTTTAATATAAAAAAAATAATATAGAGAGATAACAATTTCTAAATCTCTTTGGCCTATCTCTAAGTTTCTCATATAACAATTATTGAGTAAGCGATATCTTTTCTTGAATGTTAAGTTGACAATGATGGGATAAATATTTTTTCTAGTAATAAAAATCATTTTTATGCTTATGGATGAATTAGCATGAAACTTGGCCGGATGGACATAACATCAATATCAAAAAGATAATCTAATAATGAAAAACTCACGATCCGGTTAGCGTATAGCTTAACTAAATAAATATATCGTTGTCATAAAAAAATTAATCATGAACACCTCTCAAATCGGCCTACATGTAGCTTGACCAAATGAATACGATGTTGCTATAAAAAAAGTGAGCATGAAAGGATTATGACCTATTCAGCATATAGCTTGATCGGATAGACATGACGATGTCATTAGGAAAAAGAATGAGTATAAAAAGTTCATGGCTTGGTTAGTTTGCAATTTGACCGAAGGATATGGCGTTTCCATAAAAAAGAAATGCCGAGCCTAAAAAGCTCACCATTTGGCTAGCCTCTAGCTTGGTTATATGGAGATGTCATTGCTATAAAAAAAAACTAAGCATGAAAAGATCATAGTTTGATAGCGCACAACTTAATCGGATGGATATAGCATTGTCATCGAAAAAAAGAACTAAGTATGAAAAGCTCATAATCTAGTTAATGTACAATTTGACTAGATGGACATAGCATTTCCATCGAAAAAAATATTAAGCATGAAATGCTCACAATTTGACTAGTGTACGACTTGACCAAATGAATATGGTGTTACTATTAGAAATAAACATTAAACATAAAAGGCTCACGAGACTAATCATTGAGTAGATTGAC